TTACCTTATGGACAGACCGACACGCCTCGATGTCCAATGTGTAGTAATCAACAGCTACACTGTGAGTAATCACGATTAGTTGACGGCTACTCTGTGAGTGCGCTGATTAAAAGTTTTAATCCTGCGACAGCCCTAAAAAGTCCTGAGAATGTTGTGACTTCTACAGTACCCAATCGGTACCGCAGGTCTCATCCTCTCCTCTGTGTTGAGGAAAGCTTCACTTCCTGCAGGCCTGAGGGAGCGGAGCACTGAACAACAGCAGGAGGCGCCGATCGTCTCCGCCTGACTCTGACTGTTGTTTCAGCTCTGACTGTGAACACTGTAATGAACCGACTTATTCATCGGTACTGGTGACAATAAGAACCCTCCAGAATGGTTGAGTTTGTCTTTACTTCTTGACAACGTCCGCACAGGAACTGTTGGCCGGTGCTGGTTGTCCAAACGTTGTCCATGTTTGCCCACTCACTCCTGCTCCTACTAATATCTTCCTCCTTACCTCTCCTCCCCCGTGCTGCTGCTCCATCTTTCATAAACCTCTAAAAGATGGCACCCCTGGTAAAAGAGATGGTAAGACCTGTCTGTCAGTTCTAAGTCCCAGAAACAGTAGTTTGTCCTCGTCCTTCTGCCACAGGTTACACAGTGACTTCTTCTCCTCATTCTTCTTCCTTCTTCTTTTCATCTGTGCCCTGTTTTATCCCCCCCTACCTCCTACTCCCCCCCCCATCCGCCCACACCTTGTTATTCCTGGGCTGGATCTCTGCATGGACTGTCTGCATGAGTGTTAACGACTCTGTTCATCACCACCGTGACCTACTGTCTCCCCCTGCAGGCCTGTTTTTATTAGGTGTACAGGAACTTTCGTCCTTGTCTCCTGCTGTAGCTGATGTCACGACCACAGTGTGTGTGTGTGTGTGTGTGAAGTGTTTGTTTCACAGACAGGTGAGCAGGTGAAATGACAACAAGTCTGCCATCTACAGAGAGCTCACAGCTACAGCAGTCATAGTCAGGATGTGGTTTTTTTCCCTACCCAGTGATGTAGAGTGTGTGTTCTCCAACCAATCAGAATGTCCTCCTCACCTGTTGTCACCTGCCCAACTCCAGATTTATTTTTTTTAAGTTCTGTCCTCCTGTCCACAGATGGAACTTAGAACTGTTCTGCTGTCTGGTTTTAATCTTTTCTACCTCTGCTTCATTCCCGTCCAGGCCGCATCCGGACCAGAAGACAGAACTCCGGTAGCGTGGGTGGAGCTAGCCCTTCAGTGGTGGACAGCAGGGGGCGAAGTCGGGCCAAAGTTGTCTCCCAATCCCAGCGTACGTACCGTGTTGTGTTGGCATGTCAGCGTCTCTCCTCAGTGACGTTGTTGTTGTTGTGAGTGTGCAGAGTGAAGTTTCACACTGATGTTTGATCTTCATCAAAGCTCCTCATCCTCACTGTCCCACTGGTGACGGTGCCCTGAAAAAAGGTCCACACCCCATGTCCTTCTGTGTATGTGTGTGTGTGTGTGTGCATGTTCTACACACACCCATGATGTATAAGGTGTATGTATGACATGTGCTCCACCTACCAGGAGGTGGGTGGAGGAAGAGACCGCGGTCCTCCTCCTCTACCTCATTTTGACTCTTTTCAATCTCCACCCTGTCCTGCCTCTCGCCTCTTGCCTCCATCATCCAGGATCCAGATCGGCCAATCCCATCAGTGGTAAGGCCTCACCTTCATCTAACCCACCGGCAAGACTCCTCCCCCGTGAGCATCCCCCCACCACCACCCCCTCCCCCCATACGGAGCTTCTCTCTGTTCTGTGACGTTCCCCCTGTACAGTGTTACACAGCTGCATGCTCCACCTGTTCCCTCCCTCTCTCTCCCCCCTTCCCTCTCGCCCTTCGTGCAGTCTGCAGTCAGACATTTTGTTTCTGTTTGTTTGTCCCCACTGGTGCGCCGTACATGTCCAGTCCACAGCAGCCCGGCAGCGCCCCCTGTCCTCTGTCACAGAAACAGCAGAGCAGTGTAGGCTCCTAGGATGAGATGATTGACAACGTTGTCTTCTGTCCGTCGTCCTGTCGTCTCTGTTCATCTTCTCTGATTTGTTGGTTGTAGGGACGAGAACTTGACTCCTCCCAGGTCCAGTCACTTGGTTTAGGACCAGTTTTAAAAAAAAAAGTATTTGACAGAACACAAGCTGCAGCATCATGTGAGCAGAACGTCACGGTTCCCCGAGTGAACCGGCGCGGAACACGAAGGAACGTTCAGAACAAGTCCTACGGTTATTAACACCTAAAGCCAAAGATATAAGTTAGAACATGGAGATTTCATCGACATCGTCTATATCAGGGGTGTCAAACATACGGCCTGCGGGCCAACTGGGCACGTTAGGGGGTTCATTCCGGCCGCTTGATAACTTTTGAATTCTGTATGAGTTGATATATATAAATAAATGTAATGTAATACAATTTCACCTTCATATACAGCCCTGTTTCCCCAAAACTATTTTTCGTTCACACGTTATTTATTAAACCCAAGCATTACGTTACGTTTTTATTATCGGGGGAAAAACGATAACGATTCTTACAGATTCTTACATAATTATGCTAATATCAGACAGTAGCTAGTTATAGTTAAATAGAGGGGTGTCAAACATACGGCCTGCGGACAACTATTTTTTGTTCACACGTTATCTGTTAAACCCAGGCATCACGTTATGTTACATTTTCATTATCGGGGAAAAAAAACGATAACGATTCTGACAGATATTACATAATTATGCTAATATCAGACATCCCTAGTTATGGTTATGCTAATATCAGACATCCCTAGTTATAGTTAAATATGTTACGATTGTACTGACCAACATGACTTTGACAGCCCTGATCTATATTGATTAGTTCTACTGCTGCAGCTTGTTTTCTTTGACATACTTTACTTTTCCGATCAGTTCAGTCTGAAGTCTTTTCCAGAACGTCTCTTCTTCGTTTCAGTGTAAAGTCAGTCTGTTTTTTCTCCTGGTTGTCTCGACAGCTGGAAGTCGCTCCAGCTCCCCCGGGAAACTCCTCGGACACGGCACCTGTGGTCGAGTCCCTCGAGTCCCAACGTCGGCCTCTTCTACTGCAGCCGACAAGCGCAGCAGGATTCCCCGCAGCCAGGGCTGCAGTCGCGAGACCAGCCCCAGTCGGCTGGGTCTGGGTAAGAACAAGGGTCACACCAATCAGAACTCAGTCCTGGTTACACTCGTGTTTTTTTGTTTTGGTTTGGGGTTTTTTTTTTGAAGCCGAGCACATTTGTTCAACTTTTTTTGTCCACCGTGGAAAACAGTTTCCCAAAATGCTTTGGGGTTTTGTTTCCACCAGTGGTGTTAAACTGATGGTTTACAGACTGTTGGTGGACCACTGTCACTGCCACTATGTCTCACTGGTCAGACTGACTGTCACTGTCTAGATGTTCTGGCTCTGTGGTCGGACTGTCTGATTGTCTTTGCTCATCCCGAAATACGAGTATTCCATTTGGCAACTATTGCCAAAGCAGTTGCAGAGTTCGTCACCAACTTACCACAGTCACTATGGTCTCAGTCTACTGGGTAGACTGGTAAACTCTTCAGTTCCTACTCTCCTGTGGTCCCTTTAGATCGGTAATAGAACCATCGGTTCTAACTGTAGAGATCACATCCAGATCAAGTTTTTGAAGTTTTCACCAGAGCCACAGTACTTTCTAAATAATACTTTAATATCACATGATGTCTGTTCTTCTAACCTCTGACCCCTGGTGGTCCCTCTCACCCAACACTGACCCCAGAGTGGCTGTGTCCACTAACTTGACCACCTAACTTGTCCTCCTAACAGTCAGCCTGTGTGGTAAAGCTTTTCTTCCTGCTGGTCTTCCCTACCGCATGCTAGCCCGGAGCCGCATCCCCCGCCCCAGCATGAGTCAAGGTTGTAGTCGCGACACTAGTCGCGAGAGCAGCCGCGATACCAGCCCTGCCCGGGGCTTCACTCCCCTGGGTGAGTACTGCTCAGCTCTAATAGCTTTTCTAACTCTGGGAGTCAAACCCGCAACCTCTCCTGTGTCTCTACTCTGTTGTTCTGTCTGTCATGTGACTTTTTTCATGTGACCTTTCCTGTGTGTTTTCATGTATGTTTGTCTTTGTGAGTGTTTACTGCTGTACTTCTCCGCTGTGACACCTGGTGGCGCTCTCTTTATTCTGTTATGAAAATACAAAACCTTTGACCTTTGAGTCTGGGTCTCTCAGCTCAGAGTGTTGGTCTCTCTCGCTGCCTATTAGGAGGTGTGTATTGGTAGGAATCTGGCGATACAATACGTATCGCGATGCAGTACATATCGCGATACAGGGACAACGATACGATATATTGCGATACTATAGGTATGATGATATATTGAGGATTTTTTTTCAACTTTCAAATTGTCATCATAGTAAACACACAATTGTGTTCCATCCTGAAATCAGGTTACTAACACTGGAACAGAGGGGTACATCGCCCCCCCGTCCTCCCCCCTTATCTTCCACCAGAGCTGTGACACATGATCACCGGCGACTGTCACCTACAGCCTCCACATACTGTTGTCCTGCTGTTGTCTTTAGCTTGTCTCGTTGTTGTCTTCAGGTTCAGGTTGTTGTTAATCTCCCCCCCCCCTCGGTTGTCACCCACCTCTCCTGTCCCTGCAGCCTCTCGACGTCACTCCCGTTCAACCAGTGCTCTTTCTACAGCCGACCCCCACGGCCAGTCAGGTGACCCGCATGATCAGACAATACATGTGCCGACGTTACCCATCATGCACCAGCCTTATTTGTGTTGGGATTTTCCGTTTGTTTTTGTTTACCAGTTAACCAGTTAGTTTTGGTTTCCCCCGGTCACCTTTGGTCTCATCCTTCCGTTTTTCCACCATTTTCTTTCACAGATTTTTATTCTTTCTTGGTTTTTCCTGCTCAGACTCATTGACACTGAGTTTTTTTTTTGTTGTTGTTGTTTATAGTTAAAACAAATATATTCTAACTAGGGATGTCCGATATTAACTTTTTGCCGATATCCAATATGCCGATATTTTTCCAATTGCCGATTTAATTTTCAATTCTGATATCAACCAATATCGATATAGGTCTGGGAATATTTATTTATTTATCAGTACAAACCACTGTATAAATTTCTGGCACCAGCATTCATATAATCCCCTGATTATTAAAATAGATTTATAAAATGAGCTGCAATGCTGCCATCTAGTGGCTTTGACTTTCATATACAGCCGTTTTTTCCCAAAACTATTTTTCGGTCACACATCATTTGGTGAATCCCAGGCATTGTTTTATAGGGTTTTCATTAAATAACAATTCTTACAGATATTACATAATTATGCTGATATCGGCCGATATTATCGGAGATCCCTAATTTTTATTTTTTTAATTTTATTAAATACTTTTGTCATGTTGTTTGATGTAGTTATCAGTGGTTGTATTTCTCTTTTGACCTAACACACACACACAGCCTGGTCTTCAACTGAAGAGTGTGTTTTTAGAGATTACGTTTTTTTATTTTTCCTGTCGTTTGGATCTTTGAATCTTGTGTATTTTTTACAGTACGTTGCTCTGTCAAAGGTGTAAGTACTTTTGTTTTTTACTCAGAGAAGTTGAATCCATCACTTCACTCCTCATTGTTTCTCCTTCCCTCGTCTCCTTCAGACCGCTACGGTTTGATTCATCAGGCACGGATCTCTGCGTCGGTCAATGCCATGAGGATCCTGAACACGGGCACGGAGGTGGAGGCGGCCGTGGCCGACGCTCTGGTGAGTCTCCGTAGAAACACAACCTGAATTTTTATCATACAGATACATAATTATGGTAATATCAGGCCGATAATATTGGACATCTCTAATGTTCATACAGTTTAATATATTTACCAACATAGTATTTAAAGTACACACAGTAAGTAGAGTGGTAGCAGTGTTATTTAAATATATGTTTATTGAAAAAGCAGAAGAAAAAAAAGTTAAAAAAATATAAACATACATGTCATATCAATATATCTTAGAAAATGAGGAACACTGACCCCTGGTGTTCACATGACCACAGTCGTCCCTTATGTAAAATGTTTGGTCAAACAGACACTCAGATAAAAAACTGTTTCTATTTTTTTTCCTTGTTTCTTCCTTACCCTCCCTCACCCCTCTCCTCCCCCTCTCTCCCTCCTTCTGGCTGTCTGGGTTGTCGTTCCAGTTGTTAGGAGACTCCAGGAACAAGGTAGTTGGTGGTCTTACGTTTGTCTGTGTGAACTCATGCCCTCCCGCTCTAATCCAGCTCAGACTCTCATGCAGCTTGGCTTGTGTTTGTGTTTTTATTTTTATTTATTTTCATTTGTTGAGGTCTGCTCATTGCTCAGCTGCTTTACTCTGAGGCTCCAGCTAACGAATAGTTGATCTTTCACTTCATACCAGTAGGTGGTGTTGTTGACCAGAACTCAACTTGTATTTGAACCTCCACCAGCTGGTTCTGTCATGATTTGTAACAGTACAATCTAAGACTCTGAGAGTGTTGGTGGGTGTTAAAATCCACAACTCGCCCCCGCCTGCCCCCCCGCCCCCTCCTGCCGCTCCTGTGGCTGGGCCTGGACCGGCCTTTGTTTGTTGTTT